CCCCCCCCCCCCCCCTTCTTCTACCAATGTGTTTACGTTCTGTCCATTGCGTGGGTAATTTTTTGGTTGGATTGTTGCAGATAGGCTATCGTTCTTGAACACTTCCAGGTGGATTGAGGAAGTGCGGACAGAGAGAGGGGGTGACGTTATCATTGTTCTTGTCGGGAACAAGACGGATCTTGTCGAGAAAAGGTAAGAAGGAAGAGCCATCTCTCTCTCTATATTCTCAGCTGAAAGCTGCCATTTTAGGAGATACCTCTAGCATTCTGCGTATGACGACGACAAAATGGAACAGGCAAGTTTCGATAGAAGAAGGGGATAGCAAAGCGCGTGAGTATGGAGTGATGTTTATAGAGACCAGCGCCAAAGCTGGATTCAACATTAAGGTAACAATTCCAGTCCTTGCACATGGTTTTTGTTTTGGGGTAATGTCTTCTGAAAGAAACAAGTATGAAAACAAAAATCGCAGCCGCTGTTCAGGAAGATAGCGTCGGCGTTACCAGGAATGGGATCGTATACGCCCACGAAATCAGAGGACATGGTGGATGTGAACCTAAAGCCCACATCTAATTCATCACAGCCCCAGCAGGCTGCTGGAGGCTGCTCTTGTTGATGCCCACAATTTAAATTCCTCTTTCGCTGTGAACACTAAATCTTCTGAATGAAAATCTACAATTATGGTTTAGATCTGGACACTTTGGGTCTTTAAAAGAAAAAAGAAAAAAAAAACAGGAGAGTTAGTTAGGCGTGAGACAGGTTTGTACAGAGTTCCAACTGGATATAACTGTTTCATCAGCTTCTTGTTCCATTGTTCTCTTTATTGAGCGTATGAGCTTGCGTTTTTCTTTTCATGAATCATATATCCTGTCACGGTAATTTCGCTTGATAACAAGCCAAATTACGACGCTTGGTTTATGAAGAAGAGAGATTGAAAATTTCACCGCAAAGGATATCCAACAATGCAGGCAACTAAGTTATATGCACACAGAGAACCAAATGGGAGGAGGAGAGTTCAGCTAAAAGGAAAGGAGAGCTGTGGGATGATGGGATTTCAAACAACAAAAACACAGAAGGAACAAAAAAAAAAAAAGAGGACAAAAGAGACGTTTTAACAGCTAGACATGATTCAAGAGGACGTCACCGTTTTGCTGCTTCACTCTCAATGTCAGGTAGATCAGTATCAATGTCCCCACACTTGATCTGCATTCCCAAAACAAAATGAGAAAGATGAAATCTCTATTGGGTGGTGGAAGTTGTTGTCTCTTTGACATTTGCATATATAGATGTCGTATTGTTCGGTGTTGGGCTGAAAACGAGAGATAGCATGATCTAAAGCTGAAAGTCGTGGAACTTACAGCAGGGAGAATAAGATGACGACTTTCCTTGAATCAAATGAAGCAGCTCGTTTGTATTTTCTCCATCTGTTGGTTGGGGCATCATGGCATCTCTCAGACACTGCTTTATCTGCACGGAATTTATCAGGTTTTAGTACAATGTCACATTATTAGAACTCCAGAGGAATATCGATCAGAAACCCCAATGCATCTTTGTCAATTAGCAAGAAGTAAAACCAGATGCATTACAAACACAAGCAAGGACGAGAACTATGAACCTCATGCAGGCTCATAACCATGAAGAAGATAATAGTTTGCAGACATAAAAACGTGAAGAAAGTTATATGATCTTACCTGTACTCAAGCTTGCTTGTCTCTGCAATACCTTTTGTGTATGCTGTGGGACAAATTTACCACAAGAAGTTAGAATATCATATTCGGGTTTGGTGTACAACCCCATGTCTTCAGACTTGTGGCTGTATCCTGTATGTATATGGGCATGCCATGTAGCATATGTAGAGAGATTGATATGATAAAGAACCGGAACTTACTACACTCTCAGATTTCACACTTCCCACAACTTCATCATGTGATTTCACCGTTTCAGCGCTCCCCTTCTCAACGTTTATATCTACAATGCATGACTGGTAGGAATCTGTACCTCCTCCCAATAACACATTGATGCAGTTCTGAGTTTTCTGACAATTCAGCTGTGCATCAAGGAACATTTGATCTTTAGATGGAAGAAGAGCCTTGATGAAGCTCAACAGTGTAAATCGTGAGGCACATTGCGGGCTGATTGCTCCTTCCTCAGGTAAAACCGAGATAGTACACACGTCTTGCTCCTGTAAAAACAAAGAGATTGAAGGGCTTAGCATACAAGTTATGCCATTAGCATTCTTGTCCCTTCCGATCGTCCAATTAGGTTCTACAAGTTCTAGGCATGGACCAAAATTCGAGTCATAAACGGTAGTAATATTTCAGGGTTTTCCAAAACAGAGCAAAAATGTTGGGTTCTCTTTGTCAAGAAGTAGGGAATCCAAAATCAAAGTTACTCACGAGTGTGTCAACTGCACTCGCTTGATCCACAGGAAAAGCAGCCTCCTTGACAAGAAGGGGGAAGGCATCTGAATTGAAAAATGGAAGTCATCAGTATGCTTACACAGTTGAGGATACTGAGTTCTTTATTTGATACTAAGGAGCACTGACTTTACCTAAGGCACACTGTTGGCCCCCGTCATTGAAGCTCGGCTTCGCTAACTTAAAGCTTGGATACTTCACAGGTAAATTTCCATTCCCATCCATTATACCAACAGACTTTGGTTTCCCCTGGAAAAGACCATAAGTCGATGTCATCAATCAGAATCAATCACAGTTGACACCACTGATGATACGGCTAAAGAGGATATAGCGCATGATAACAGTTGCAAGCAAGGAATCTTCAGACCACAATTTTGCTATCAAGATTTCAAATTCGCAAGTTCCCGTTCTTCATATTCACCAAATCAAGCGTTACTATATCCAGAATCAGATCCAACTCCGTACAACAAAGGAAGTGGATTTGATGAATTCTATGTCTTTTTGCATCCATATGTATTGGTTATGAGCTTCAATTTCCAAAATAACTAGCAAAGTTTCAGCTCCCAGATTAGTATTGTTTCCTTGTTTCAAAGGAAGGAATAGCCAAGTGCATGAACACGGGATCAAGGAAAAGCTTCCAATAACACTTGAAGCCTACAAAAAGGCGAAATTCCAGTTCGCCTTGTGCATAGAGAATCGAATCTAGAGGACCAAAAGCTTTATCTTCCCCTTTGATTCCCCACATTTTTCACCCAAAGCTTCTCGAGATAAGATTCGTAATCTATAATCACAGTTGACAAACCAATTACACAGAATAGCAGGAACGATCACAAAGTTCCGATTAGTTTGAGAACACCTCAAATCGATCCAACCCAAACGAACCTTCACTGCCTCAAACAGAAGTACGACTCACACAGGAAAACCGAAACAGAAACCACCATTTCAAGAAGCTTACACAACACAAACAAAAATTACTAACCGCTTCGAATGAACCATCAGCAGCAGCCATTGCAGGGAGACAGTCGTCACGAAGACGGTGAGAGAAGACGAAGCTGTGAAGAAGAAGACGAAGCTTCAAGTCTATGTACAATGCATGTGGAGTTGGTACAAAGCTTCCCGTAACGGCAGATTCAGAGAGAGAAGATGAAGAAGAAGAAGACGAGAGAGAGAGATTTAACACAGAAGAAGCTCCGAGGGGCCCGACGCGATTCGCCTGTGAGGCCTCTCTGATGGCGACATCACAGATAACGACGAATCATCGTTCCTCACCTCCCTTTTTACTTTCCCAAAACACCCTTCCTCTTCCCTCTTTTTCACATCCTCAACCTCGTTAATGACGTGATCACTATATTCTCATTATTTACCAAACATTTAATCGTCATCTGTAATATTAGATACTCAACATACTAATTCGTTTATTTATAAGGTATTTAAATCATAAATTTTATGAAATATGTACTGTTCTTCCCTAACAAATGGCTATATACATCTATATTAGTAATTTTTAATAATATTTTTGCGTTTAAATGCTAATTATCGCCACATTAATGTATATTCCAAGTCACCGAGATCAACAACAGTTAAAATAGAAGCTATAACCTACAAAAGGATATCCATAAGCAATTTTTGAATGCTGAACTGTCGACTCCATATATATATATAATGGTGCACATAAAGAGAGACATCCACCTACCATACAAAAAAAAAATATATAATAAAACCATATGTCTATTTGCATATCCGATGCCAGCAGCATTAAAAGGTTAATTTAATTCCCCAGCTGTTATATTGATTTAACCTTTATTTCTTATTTCAAGTAAACCAGTAGATTTAGGATGTATGTTACATTTTATTCTATCTTTTATAACCATAACATTCCATTTTTCAATCTATTTTTTTATATTCGGTTCTTTGAAGTAGTTGGAATTCACTTTTTTTAAAATATATTTTTGTGCTTTACTCTTTTGTCATTTTCTATAGATTTTATTTGATGTAATATATATATATATATATATATAATCTCACATCTAATTCATGGGTATTTTTGGAGTGTATATACAGAACAGCTATTTAAGGGGAAAAAAAGAAAAGGGACAAAAAATCACGGGTGATCCAAATCCAACAGTGTGTCCTCTTATGTTGTAAAAGTCGTCACCTTTCCCATCGCCCGTGACCTCCTTTTGTTTTTTGTCTCTCTTTCATGGGTTCTCTAACGTTGCTCTCTGAATGTGTACGTGCCTTCTCATATCTTTGTTTAAAAAAAAAATCTTTTTTTTTGGTCATTACAACGCCATTTTCTTTTTATAATTTCGATTTCCCATTTACAGTTGCATAAACTATTAAATTCTTATTTAACGTCATGCTCTCACCGTAGGTTCAAACCCAAGCGTGGGGAGGGGTATTCAGCTGGACTTTTCTGTTCCTCTGAGAGATGTAATCGGGACAAAGGTCCGGATGAACTTCCGAATTATAAAAAAAAACGTCATCCTCTTTGAAGTTACTGTTTAGGCCCAATGAATAAGACAGATCCAAAGGGTTTATAGGTAAAAAGACAGTTAACGGGTTTGTATTGGGCTTGATCTTGGTCTTGATATTGGGCTTGATCTTGGACTTAGTATTGGGCTTGGGCTTGATTCTTGATACAAATATAACTTGGAAAGGTAAATTTTGTATGAATATGAGCACATTAGCAGGACAGACAAACCACTCTATTAGCGTATTAGGGTTTTTTCTAGAATTATGACAGCGTCTTTGTCTCCCACTGCGACGGCTTCCGACGCCATGGACGCCCAAGAGCCACCGCATGAGTCTTCCCCTTCACTTTCGTCATTGCCTTGCGATATCCTTTTGAACTGCGTGGCCCGAGTCCCGAGGTTGTACCACCCGAACCTCTCCGTCGTCTCCAAGAGCTTCCGGTCCCTCATGGTTTCGCCTGATCTCTACGACACTCGGTCCCGACTCGGCCTGGACGAACACTGCCTCTACGTCTGTATTCGGCTCCCTCACTCCTACCCCGCACGTTGGTTCGTTCTCCGTCGCAGCCCGACCTCGAACCGGTTGGTCCCGATCCCTTCGTCTCCTTCTCCACGGCTACCGACTCATTCATCCGTCGTCTCGGTGGGTCACATGATCTATTCCTTCGGCGGAATCATCAGACACAATCGTGTCTCGAAAGCCCTCGTCATGGACTGTCGGAATCAGACATGGCGCCGTCTTCCCAGAATGCAGGAGCCTCGCATGGACGCCCTCTCATGCATCGTTGACGGTAAAGTTTACGTCTTTGGGGGCTGCACTAAACGGTATATCGAATCTTTCGAGGTTTTTGATCTAAAGACGGAAACTTGGGAGACAATTCGGGTATCTGGTTTACAGATAAGCGACAGGGACGACAACGGGATAGTGGTGACGGAGGGAAAGATTTACATAATAGGTTATGACGAGACCTTCTGTTACGACCCAAAGGAAGGCGAATGGGAAAGCGTGGATCGTTACGTGAGTAGAGCGAGTATGAGACCGCCATTTTGCGTGGTGGACAAGGTGGTGTACTCTGTCCATGCATACAATCTGAACACAAACAACCCGACATGGGATCTGATCTGGTACGATGAAGAGAAGAGGGAATGGAGAGAGGTGGAAGGAATGGAAGAGACCCCTGGGTTCTCTGAATATGGCACGATCCTAAACGTGGACGGGAAGGTTGTGGTGATGTGGGACAATGACTTCCCGGGCGATGATTGGAGAGTCGAGGTTTTGTGTGCGGAGATTACGGTCGAGAGAGAAGAAGACGGGGAGATCTCCGGGGACGTTGAGTGGTTTGACACTGTTTTTACGGCCGAGCATGTGGGTTATCGTTTCAAACTCCAATGCCACAGCATCTCCCTTTGAATTATATTTATTTAGATCGTTTATTTATTATTTAGTTTTTGCTATGAAATTTCGAATATTTTAATTTTATGATGTTAGTTTTTTGCAAAAAGGTTATGTTTTCGCATGTCATGTACTTGAGAGAGTCGAAATTGACTGCGGGTTTATATGTTATTAATAAATTATATTTGTATTCTATTCGATCATATCTCCAGTGAAAAAGAAGCCTCCTTTTTTATACATATATAATTCATTGGGCTTGGGCCTAACCAAACCCATAAGTAATGTGGGCTTTGCAACCGAGATATATAACACCCTGAATTAGTTTTCCATGTATGGTAGATTTGTTGCCGCCAATAAATTTTTATGGAAAAAATATCTAAAAATTTATAAATTTGTAATTTTGTATAATATTAATTCTGAATTTATAGATATACCTATTTATTTTCGAATTTATATTTTTGAGTATAATAATTTCTGAACTTGTATTTTTTGAATACAGTAATTCATAAACTTTATTTTGTTCAATTAGTTATATTGGACGATTATGGACTGATAAGTAAGTTTAAAAATTACTATATTCAAAAATATAAGTTCGAGAATAAATATGGGTAAAGTTAATAAATTAATATTATACCAAATTACAAGTTTATGAATTTTCATATATTTTTTTCCAATTTTTATTAAATGGTTTCTGAATTCATATTTTTAATTTTTTTTGTTATATTTATATAAATATGTGTCGTTAAAATTTATTCTATCTTCCATTGCACTATTTTATTTAAAATATAAATAGATCTTTTTAATAATTTTATTCCTGAAAAGGAATTTTTTTTTCTTTTTTTTGTTTGCATGGAATAAGTAAATTTCATTAAATGTTGTAGAGAAGATTCTATTTTTTGTATTTCTTTGTTTGATCTTTCTTTCTTTTTTTAATTTTAGGAAATAAACTACCGTTTTTATTTAATGGGAATAACTTCTTGGAGATTTGCATTTATTGAGAAACTCTGAAAATTTTACTTCATTGGTTATAGAGATATTCTTCCCAAATCTTGCACCTGGCTTTATCTTCACGAATAATAAGAGAGACGCCTAGAGGGTTATTTTGACCATTTTATTTATATATGGGGTCATCTCGATGTTTTCTAAACGTCAAGGTCTTTGTAGCAAAGTAGGTCCTGCGAGAGTGTAGGTCCATTCTGCAATTTACCAATGTCCTCCCCCGTCGCCGAAGCCGAAGAGCCACCACCACTGATTCCGCCATTTCCGGATGATGTCGCTGTGAACTGTATCGCTCGCGTCCCGAGATGTTTCCATCCGAGCCTGGCCCTCGTCTCCAAGGGCATTACATCGCTTCTCACTTCGACCGATCTTTACGCCGCGCGATCCATCCTCGGATGCGCCGAATCGGTCCTCTGCATCTGCCTAGGGTTCATGGATGATCCCGAAACTCACTGGTACACTCTCACCCGAAAACCCTTTCGGACCAAACCCCCATCGACGACGACGACCGAGGATCCGTTCGTCCTCGTCAAGTCCTTTGTCTCCCCGCCTCGGGTCCAATTCGGCACCGTCTCGGTCGGTTCGGAGATCTACTTCATCGGTGGATCGAACGGTGGCGTGCCCACCTCGAGCGTTTCGATCTTCGACTTCGTATCTCGCACTTACCGAGAAGCCCCGAACATGCTGATGCCGCGCAGCATAGCCACCGGACTGTTCGTCGACGGGAAGATATACGTGGCCGGAGGGTGCAAGGTCGACGATTGGGAGAGATGGGCTGAGGTTTTCGACCTCAAGACGCAGACTTGGGAGTTCGTCCCGAGCCCGAGCGCCGAGTTACGCCAGAAATGGACGACCCAGATGAGGTCAATGCGGTATAAGAACCCGGAGTTTCGCGAGAAGAACGTGCGAGACATCGCGTTAGTGGACGGGAAGATTTACTTCTTAGGCAATAGAAACAGTGTAGCTTACGAGCCGAAGGAAGGCAGATGGGAAATGGTGGACGATGAGATGCATATATGGTGTAAGGGGACATCGGCCGTCGTGGACAATGTACTGTACCGTTTCGGGCTGTCGGGGAGATTGTTATGGTACAACGCGATGAAGAAGGTGTGGAAAAACGTGAAGGGTGTGGAAGAACTGCCTGAAGGTTTTGAGAGGGTGTTAATGATGAGTCATGGAGGAAAGCTTGGTGTATTCTGGGAAAATGATTGGGAATGTAGCCGCAGACATGATGGGTACAAGGAGGTTTGGTACGGAGAGATTGTGTTGGAAGGTCTCAACAAAGACCATGACATGATTGGGAGGTTTCACTGGTCCAAATCTGTGCTTACAGTCCTTAATGATTATTATATTCTGGAATCTGCAACTGCTACTCTTTGATCATCCTCTGCAAGGTATGTTCTCTTCTGTAATCATATTCATTTTGTTATGTTTAATATTATGGTAATGTTCTGAATCACATGTGATATTGGCAGAGACGAGGGAGAGGCCGAGAGGCCACTCGCTGGGAGATTTGGCCGTTTGGTCATGCTGTGTTTACTGTCTTTAATTTGTATTCAGGGAGCGATGATCACCCATAAGATGGCTTCAACTATTGGAACTATCATCCGGGGTTATATGTTTTTGCCTCTGTGATGTTTCTCCAAGACCTTCGTATAAGTATTTTTGTGATGAATGATTTCTTAAATAAAAGTTTTTTTTTATGGCAAAGGTGATATAATGAAAAAGGGAAAAACTTTATCGACTCCTGGTAACCTTTTAATTAGTCCAGAGGCTCTCGTAGAACAAGATGTAACCATGATCGGTATTGCTAGAGTACTCCTGTGATGACCCGAAGAACGTCTGAATGGCAGATTCTTCAATCATCTCGACGCTCTAGTCGTCAAAGAAAAACCAGTGGTCATGGCTTTTCACGAGGCTGACGTAGTGGCCATGGTTCGGACCACTTCCAACATGAACCACCACTGCATACAGAGAGTACTCTCTTTCTGAATATTCTTCCACTGTGTTGCTTAGTTTCAGTTCCAGAGGGAATACTACCCGGTACGACAGCTACTTGTACCGACCCATCTGTTCTATGTACTTGAATCTTTTCAGATGTATGACTAGTATGTTCGGCGGCTTCATGATCTTCATCCTCTTCTGTGCTTCTTGTAACTTGCAAAAGTTGAAAACTTTTCAAGTTTGTTTGCATAAATGATCCAATTTGCACAAAAGAAGGCTTTTTTACCTGCAGCATTTGTCACAGAAGAATTTGTCATCGGCATGAAGAGTCTCGGTGGAACTGAAGTTTTTCAAACAGCTAGTTATGGAACTGTTCTGTTCAATGTCGAGGCTCAAGTCAAGGAAAGTCTCGTCCCTTGCTGTCACTGTCTCACACCTCAAACACCTTGTCTCGTTTGTAAGGATACCCTGCCGTTCAAACTTCAAATTCAATCCCACGCGTTCTTCATTACATGAGCAGAGTTTCCTATGAATGAAAGTCTACCCCATTGACAGCTAGAGGTCGGTCCATGTCTGAAAATATTTCCCAGAAGCACAAAATAAAGGCGGATTCACTTAATATAACAGAACTCACCTGAAAAATATTGTGAACCCACGTAACGATAGGCTCTTTCTGACAACCATTCCCATTTGTCTCGGGAGTATGAGCTCTTGGTCCATTCGCAATCTTTTCAGGAGACGACGATGTTTGCTGATCATTTTTTGTAGACTGTGCTTCTTTCTCCAATATGTCCACGAACTCATTGAGCAAATAATTCAGGAACTCGTGTGCATCCTTTTGCATGAGAATGGTAAATTTCTTTCCATAAACATATTGGTCGTTACACGTAATTGAACTTACAATAAAACTTCACTTGGGAAGATAATGTTTTCAGGTGCTACCTGATGCATAAAACTCCGGAACAGCTCATTTTGCTTCTTCAACCTCTGCACAAAGCGTTTCGGAGCAATAACTCCTGTTCTCTTTTTCTGGGAACTTATCTATGGCAACAAAAATGGCAACCCAAACACCCATCTGAGGAGGTTTAACAAAAGGGAACAACAGAGAGGAGATTAAACAGAGATTTCAAGCATTGGTAATCACCTGTGAAAACAAGTCGGCCAAGCAGGTGAAGAGATTCTCTTCAGCATCAGCAACCCTTTTGTTATCTGCATAGTATTCAATCAATTCTTCACGAAAGGGGACACAGAAATAGAGCGCCTGCAAAACAGAAGAAACTGAAATATGAACTACTTGCCAGCAAGAATCTTTCTTCTAGCTCTGGAAACTCAGGCATGAACTTGACGCGCAAGCAAAGATTCAACCTTTAGAGATGATTCACGTGTACATAAAACAAAAAGCAAATCTTTCACATTTGGTGTTTCCACTGATCCACATGTGTTTCCTTAAGAAGACTACCTTTGTCATCAATAGAGCAATCCCAAATTCAAGATTTGGTGACTAAACCTGATTCAGAATGAACAAAATGCTAAATACGATGGCAAAGCAAATTCGAAGGAATCACACATTGCGCATATCTGACCGTGCAGAAACTCTAAAATCAAAAGCACCTTTCAAACGAAACTGCCTATAAATTTCTCCGGAGCCTTGAAACAACATAAATATTTCGCGGGAACCACGAGTCACATTGGACAGAAATTCGAATGAAAGACTTTCAAAAACGAGTCTTCCCCATTGAAGCAAAAACCCAATTCGATTCCAGCAGAAAAATCGATCCTTTCGGGAAAAAAACAAGCAGCGAATCAAGTAAGAACAAGCGGCGCATCGAAAGAACCAACCTAGAAATGGGGAAAGAGAGAGAAGAAAGAGACCTGCAAAACGTTGTTGCAGTAGCAAGTGTTGCCGAAATTCTCGAAGCCGAAGTAGCGTTCTCCTTCAGGGAACTTATCCTAACCAAAACACAGAAGATAATATGCATCTTTCATAGTCTTTTTGTGGATTTTATATATTCAACTAATCAGAGAACTCGATGTGGGGTGTATTTCGAACTAAAATAAATCTTGGGGTGGATTTTAACAGTATTCAAATATTCTCGGTCAAAAATCTAATTTCAGCATTTCCATCAACCAGAAACGACGCCGTTTGAATCACTGTTTCGATTTTCGAACTTGATTGTAAAATGCGCCGTCGCATGACGTCGCGGTCACAACGCGAAGAACGATGGAAGACGACGACCCGAACCCGAATGCCTCGGCGAGCAAAACCCTAGACCCTGTGTTGCAGAAGAAGCACCAGGAAATGCTCGAGCGCCTCTCTGCTCGTCATCAAGCTCGCAAATCTGACTCCCCCGGTTCCTCATCCTCGCTTGAGTCCACCTCCTCCTTCCTCTCCCGATTCGCCGATTCCAAGCAATCCATCGAGTCCCGAATCGCCGGGTCACGACTTGCCTCCTCCTCCTCTGCGGATCCGTCGAAGGTTAAATCAGATCTCGCTGAGATCTCATTCGCGATCGCCGATCTCGAGAAGCTTCTCGCCGAGAATTCCTATTTCCTGCCTTCATACGAGGTCCGGTCGTCTCTTAAATCGATTTCTGAGCTAAAGCAGAATCTCGAGAGCCTCTCCGGAGAGTTAGTACCGAAGAAGAAGTTTTCTTTCAAGAACAAATCAACCTCAAGAAAGCCGGAACCCAAACAACCGGAGACCCAGAAATCCGACGCCGTTTTACCTCCCAAGATCTCCATCCGTGATTCTCCTGGGTTCAGAAACAAGCATGGCGTCAATCTGGTGAAAACTTTCAGAGGCTCTTCGATCGGAGAATTTACATTGGCGGATCTCGATTCCTGCGAAGTGAGATTGTTAGGAACGGTTAACGCTCTTTTCCTTCACAGATTGAGGAACTGCAAGGTCTATACCGGTCCAGTGATCGGCTCGATTCTGATCGACGACGTAGAGGATTGCGTTTTTGTGTTGGCGTCGCATCAGATCAGAATCCATCATGCCAAGAAGAGCGATTTCTACCTGAGAGTGCGGAGCAGGCCCATAATCGAAGACAGCAACGGGGTGAGATTCGCGCCGTACTGTTTGGAATACGAAGGGATCGAAGAAGACCTAAAGGCGGCGACATTGGCGGAGGAGACAGGGAACTGGGCCAATGTGGATGATTTCCGGTGGCTGAGAGCCGTACAGTCTCCTAATTGGTGCATCTTACCGGAGGACGAGTGGATTTCTCGGGTTTCCGTCTCCGATTTCACGAAAGAAGAAGCTTGATTTGAAGAAGAATCAGGTAACAATCGAATCCAGTTCTTAGCTCTGAAACTAGTATGCGAGTGCATTGGAAAATTTGGAAGCTGCAATGGAAAGTGTTCGTCATGGCATGAGTCAGTTTTAAGACAAGACAGAGGGCTATGAAGGGTTTATTGCTGCCATTCTCGTAGAATTGTTAGCATTACCAAAACTTGAAATTGCAGGTTGTGAAAACAGAACAAAGTCATGGCGGTTTCAATGGAGGTTTTAGCTATGGAGATGGTGAATCTAATGATCACCTGAGAATGTTTTTGGTTCTGCATTTTGCAAAGATTCTCAGGAACAACTTTGAATGTTTTGTTTCATCGATTCGCTTCCTCGATTCTCTCCTTATGAGTCACCATTGAATTGAAATTACATAAATTTTTAGCCTTTATCGTAAGGGTTCACTGGAATCGACGACCCTCAAGACTCACCGTTGAATTGGAGATGTGCAGCCAATAATAATTCTTTCATGATCTATCTTATTTTAAAAGATTTTAAATTTTAAATACAAATTATTAGATCGATATCATTGAGTTTTATATAAGGCGATTATAACATATTGTATAATCAATTAATAAAAAATAGAATGAATAGTGAAGTGAGATTTATAATGTTTTAAAGAAAAATATTTATTATATCCTTTTTATTCTACATGACTGAGATATTATTCCGTGGATTTAAAAAAATTTAAGATATAAATGTAAATTTATGGATAAATTTAAATTTTTTGAAAGTTTTCTGTTTTTGTTATTTCGACTTAATTATTGGTTGAATTGAAGCAAATTGCACGTATAAAGGGGTTGAGGAATTTGACAGGTGAGATTTGGTAGTTGGAGCACGTTTCCATTCATGTGCTTATGTACACACACGAATATATATATATATATATATATATATATATATATATATATATTTATTTATTAGTGCAGTATACAAATAAATATTTCGATTTGATCATACAATGTGCCAATCATATTCCAATACGATGCGAACTTATATTCCCACGTTGAAATATTAACTTCCAACGTATAGCTACTTTTAATTACTTGGAATGATATTCCATTAATAGCCAGAGATCGTATAATGATATATAAATTGATTACTGAAATTCAACACGAGTTTATGACATACTATAGCGCGTCGTATAATTTCATTCGTGTGAATGTACAAAGAAAAGTGTTTCCTAAACGGAGCACCAAAGTGGTGCTTGTCGATCTCATAGGTTCCTTATCAATATTTTCATATGCACATTATAAAGTGGACAATTTTATATAACAAGATGATAATTTATTGATGGAATATATATAATTTATATATAACAATAATCTAAAAAAATAGCCGATAACAAGTAATATGTATAAAAATATTATTTCATATCCTTCCATTAATATGCAACACTGCGCTAAGACATATATATATATATATATATATATGTGTGTGTGTGTGTAATCCAATACATGTGGTCGTAAAATGTGAAATTTAAAAGAGCCCTAGAGTTAGGGAAGATTTATAAATTAAAATAGCAATGCAATCAGTTGTGTTTGTGAATATCATGGGGTGCTTTCACCTAAAAAAATAAAATACAATACATATATATATATATATACATGGTATTTAAAAAAAAGGCAAGTAAATATGGGGAGGGACAAAGGTGGGACAGATGCATGTTGTGTTGTTTAATGGATTCCCGTAATCAAACGGTATATGGTCGAATTTTTTTCCAACCGACCTCCGAGAATTGATAATGCTGATTTTCCTTTAAAAGTAAAAGATATTCGACTAAATCAAACATGATTTTACCCTCTCTCTCAGACACACATGTATACATATATGACATGAATTATATAGAACTTTTATATGATATACTACAAAAGACCCGCATGTTATACGGGTTATTCTTTTTTTAATTATTAATATAAAATATTTATCATTTCGTTAAAACAAATTATTGATATGAATTTAAAAAAAATTATATTATTAAATCATTATATATATAATAAAAGAATTTAAATATTATTATATTATTATATTATAAAATTATTTGATACATGTGTTGAATAAGTTTATAGGTTAACAATATTCTTCTAGAAATGTAATAATATAATATTTAAAGATAACTTAGAAATGTTGGGTTTTTCTGGGATCTCATGAGCGAATCCTATTCCTAAGAGATCGATTCTAGTGTTTGTGCAGCGGATATAAAACAAAAATTTGAATAAAACCCTAGAACCATACATGCATGCTTACGTAGAAACATTAGAACACTTACCTCAATCGATCCGGGGCCTGTTTCAATTGATCCGTTCGTCCGATCACTCAAGGCAAGAAGATTACCTCGTCCTCTACACGTATCCACACCTCGGGATGGATTCCAACGATTGAAACTTGTCTGCTAGGACCTGAATCTGCTATTCGGTATATCGTTTCGAAAAAACGAGACTTAGAACTCCTTTAATTCTATGGATCTCAACAAAAACTCTCAAAGTTCTGCCAAGGACGGCTCTAAAAGTCTCTTTCTTTAAATAGGGTTTTAATCTCCTTCTTATAAGGTGATTTAACCCTAATTCGGTCTAATTTTTGAAAAATCTGAAAGCCGGAACGGACGGTCCAGAAATGCACGTGGACCGTCTGTTCTAGCAAGCCAGAACGGACGGTCTGCCTATGTGAACCATTCCCATTTGTCTCGGGAG